AAAAAAATACAAGCCTGATTCACTTCTATGCTTGAATTAACTACAGGAGGATGTCCCAGGAACCTAGGACATATTTTCTTTTCCTGTTCCTTTTTCTGAGCCATGGAGTGGCAAGTCATAGAGTTCCAGATTCCAGGCAGGGTAAGTCCTGAGGGAGGAATAATCTGCCATAGTTTCCACACATCTTAGGGAAGGTAGTGGGATGGATCAACTTAGGTACAGGTTGCTGTAGAGTGTTCGGGATGTGTGCATACATGTGAGTATGTGTGTGCATGCACACATATGTGTAGGATTTTCAGGATTATTCTAAAAGGGTTTTCAAACCAGGGTTTTTTCACCCTGGGCACATAGGAGCACAGGTATAATTAAAATTCACTAAAATTTTCCTTCACGAGTGACTTTTTTTTGCGGGGGGGATCTTTTCCTAACCCATATGTATATTTCTGAAGATTACAAAATTCAATTCTAGTTATACCTTCAATGGCTTTCTTACAGATTTGCATCCATTGTTGCAAAAAATGGCGGTGAGTATCCCATTTTCTTTTAATCTAAATCTCCTCTACTGGAACTGCCAACTTTTGGATGTTTTACTTCACGTTATTTCTTTGCCTTTTAGGAAGAAATAATAGATGGAAGCTATCTGAATGGTAATGTCCCCACTCTGTCCCCACTTTGCTGCTTCTAAAAATTTCAAACAGAATGTGCCTGTGATCTCTCTGGAATGATTCTTTTAAAGATGTCTTTTTATTTTATTCCCGTGTAGCATTACTGGATCTCATACAGTTTCAAAGGTAACCCACCCTAGAGGAGAGGGGAAGGGATGGATTAGATGTTCAATAAAAATTCCTAAAGGGAGGGGGTGCCTGGGTGGCTCAGTCGGTTAGGTGTCTGCCTTTGGCTCAGGTCATGATCCCAGGGTCCTGCTCAGCGGGGAGCCTGCTTCTCCCTCTGCCTGCAGCTCCCCCTGCTTGTGCTCTCTCTCACACACTCTCTCTCTCTCTCTCAAAAAAAAAAAAAAAATTCCTAAAGGGAAGTCTCTTAATTGTAAAAAGTAATGCATACGTATGTATGCATTACAAAAAAATAACCAGTGCACAGGTGTTTTAAAGTAGATACATTTGTTTCACAAACTTTTATTCCTCTCTGTTCTGGTACAACTGCTAACATTTATTGAGTGTTTACTATGCAGCAGTCCCATTCTTAGCACTTTGTTCATAGAAACATATCCAATCCTCACAGATCCCCCAGGGAAGGTCCTGTTTTTTTCCCATTGGACAGAACAGTGAAACTGAGGCACAGGGAGGGTGAATCAAGGTCATGCAGCTGGGAAGTGTGGTGGAGCTGAGGGGTGTATCCAGCAGTGGGGCTCCAGGGCCCATTGCCCTGTCATGTTATATACTGCATTCGACTGCTGTTAGATTCCGGGGATGGGGGGCAGGGCACTAGAGAGTCTTGTAGAAAGACAAATATTAACAGATAATTCTAATATGATGAATACTATGAGGGGGAAGAAATGGGGATTTGGGGGCCCATGACAAGGACACTCAATTATGTTAAAGTGAAAGAGTCCCCATAAACATTCTTCTTCCTAATGTAACTAACTCCAGTTGATAGTTTTGGGTATATTCTTTCAGGCTAAAATCTATCTATCTGTCTATCTATCTATCTATCTATCTATCTATCTATCTATCTATCTATTTTTGTGTTCATTTATTCATCCATCTATTTATTTAGTAACAAAAATGGGATTATAAAGGCCTCCCAATTGTTTAAGGCAGGAAGATTTATCTGCGGCCAGTTACTCCATCACAGCTGGAAACTGAAGTCCAACTCATTCCTTTTTTATTGATGGGTGACATTCCACTGAATGGACGTACGATATTTGTTTAACCTTTTACTTGTTGTTGGACATTTGGGTTATTTCCAATTTTTGGCTGTTCTGAATGAAATTGTGCATTTTCTATGTGGTTGGGTACTGTTTTAAGCACTTTACATGTGTGAACAAATAGAATCTTCACAATTTTTAGCTGTATCACATAGAAAGGGAAACTGAGGCACAGGAAAATTCGGTAAATTGTCTGAGGCCGCACAATTAAGTGGCAGAGCCAGGATTTGAATCCGAGTTTTGAGTTCACACTCTTAACTATGGTATTCCAACCTCTCATGATATACATTGTATCTGCTTTTTAAATTTAACATAGTAAGGACATCTTTCCAAGTCAGTTTGTTTGGATTGTAGTTAATCCAAGTGGATTGTTACAGGAATTAGAATATTGCACACAGCTCAGAAATGATAATTGTCTTTGAGAGAATGGGATCCTGGAAGATTCTTAGATTGGGGAACTTCCCCACCACTGTGCCAGGTTAACAAATCTCCTACCCTCTCCAAACACAAAGTTCCTAGCATCCCCAGCCCATTCCCCACATCCTGTCTGAACTCTGGTCTCCTGGCCACTTGGCAAGTAGGGGAACTACTCATCATAGGGGAGCCTGTCATCGTGACCTTCTCCTGTCTTCAACTGAAGCTCCCATGGGTGGACGGCAGACCTGTCCCACAGAGTCCTGGCCTATCTGAATTCACGGAATGTTGCCTTCACCATCCCCAGCCTGCAGGTGTGTACCTGAGATTCATCCCTATCATATATTTCCCTCTCAGCACTCCAGGGTTGTAAACTCAGGGGCCAGGTAGGATGGGGAAATGGACTATAAGGTATAGAGCTAGTTTTCACTTCCACAAGGAAACGTGTTCTGTCCAGTTGTTTTGAAACATGATACAAGCTCTTTTGTGTTTTTCCTCCTTTCTGCCTTTGAAGGAGACTTGGTATATTAGACTGTAGCTAATATACCAGTGTAGGCTGAGCTGCTGTAACAAAGAGACCCCAAATTCCAGCAACACAATGTAGTTTATCTCTATCTCTTGTTATATAGTTCAGAGCTCAGTGGGAGATCCAGAGAGGAGAGGAAGCTCTCTTTCAAAAGACTATCCAGGGCTCCAGCTTCCTTCTATCTGGTTGCTTTGTCATCCTCTACAGAGTTGTTGCCCACATGATTGAAATAGCACAGCCATTCTCCAACTCAGGAGAGGGGGTGGTGGGAAAGAGGAAATGAAGGGCGAGCATCTTCTCTTTAAGGACGTGACCTGCAGGTTGCACCCTTCTTCCTGCCCACATCCCGTTGGCTCACAGTCCACAGTCACATGTCAGGAGTAAGAAGAGAGGCCTTTCTGAGAAGCCACCTAGTCTGCTAAAACTTGTGGGATTCTTTTGCTAAACAGAATTACAGGAGACTGGCTCTTTGGGTGTAATGACCAGTCTCTTGATTATGGGTCCAAAAAATATTTTTCTTCCCTTTTAACTCTACTGTAAGAAAAACAGTAGCACGGGCATGGTAATAGATGACAAAGATATTTGTGGAGCAGTAGGGCTTGCTGGGGACTGTGGCAAACTGGACAGCACGTGCCTCATCAGCATGATCGTCAGCCCAGGGTGGTATGTCGTATCTTTACCATTATATTGTGAATAGCACAGAAAATTGAGGAAATATTCTTTCGGTATTCAAAAACTATCCGAGTCAGCAAAGAAGTCATGTCATTGACGAATGAAGTTCTGACATCTGAATGAATGAAGTCCTGACATCTTTATTGTTTCAATTTTTATTTACTTTATAATGAAAATGAAAATGAAAGTATCAACCAACATTCACATGAGAGCTACATTCAGGGAGTTGGTTGCTAACTCTTTACCAGGACACCCACTAGCTGGAGGTGGCTGTTGGCCTCATGGCATCTGCTTTCTTTCTTCTGTTCATCGGTCTGTGGCCACCTAAAGGCAAGTAATGCCTGCCCCTTTTCTCTCCAGCAGTGTTTTCTCATGAGATGCGTATATTTTAACCTGAAGAGATATCTTCTCTCTCTTCCTTTGTAAAAATTTATTTATTCATTCAGTATATCTACTTATCTAACCTCTAATCTCTGCCAGGCATTGTTCTAGACACTGGAGACTCAGAAGAGAACAAGGCAGTCACACTACTACCTACATGGGCCTTTCATTCTAGTGGGAGAGTCACTGAGTGAATCATTATTCAACTCATTCAAGATAGGGAAATGGGTGACACTTATTGATCTCTTACTATATGCTAGGCACTATTGAAAACACTTTACACACACTCCTTTAATCCTCATAAAAACCCTACATAGTAAGTTTCTAAGGTGTCTATTTTTCAGCTGAGAAAACTGAGGCCCCAAAGTAGTGTTGCCCGTTTAGCAAATAAAAATACAGTATTCCCAGGGCACTGGGCTGGCTCAGTCGGTGGAGTGTGTGACTCTTGATCTTTGGGTTGTGAGTGTGAGTTCTACACTGGGTGTAGAGGTTGCTTAAAAAAAAAAATACAGTGTTCCCGGTTCAATTTGATTTGCAGATGAACAATGAATAATTTTTTCAGTATATGTTCCATGCAATTTTTGGGACATACTTATGCTGAAAAATTATTCACCGTTTAACTGCAATTCAAATTTAACTGGGCATCCTGTGTTTTATCTACCAATCCTAGTTAAATAACTTGTCCCAGGCCACACAGCTAGTCGGTGGCAATGTGGGGATGTTCCCGTGGGTTGTCTGGCTCTAGAGCCCAGCTTTGCCCATGCCATCACAATATGCTGCCTCTCTAGAGCACCTTTATTTAACAGAGATTTAGAAAATAATTCCCCAGACAGCAGAGGTAATCTCTTTTAGGAGACGCTTTTGTCCTCTCCTCATCACTTCCGAGGGGATGCCAAGAGGGAGTTTGTTCATGCTCCCTGAATTTTGCTTCTACGCTCATAGCTTGGGGCATGGGAAAGGGTTAGAGCAGTGCCAGTTGGGGAGTGGTAAACTTCCTGGACGGAGGCCAACTGCTCTGGACTTGAAACCCCAATCACCTATAGGGACCAGGCAGGCCACGGGGAAATCGGCTGGCTGGGTGGGTGGTGAATAGGAGTGTAATTACAGGGAAGAGCTGCTCCCCGGCCTGCTATTCTCATCAGGAAGGGGTTACGCCTAGTGTTGCCAAATCTTTGTGTTTTCCAAGAGAACTTGGAAGTCTGGATTTTTGTGGGGAATCCCCTGACTTTGAAACGTTGGCAGCTAATGAAAAATTTTGGAGCCAGCCAAACCAAACATGCCCACTAGCTGCCAGCTGGTGGGCTCTGCTGGGAAGGAGGTGGCCTGGCTGGGCTGCTGGCCATGGTGCTGACCATGTGCTCCTGTCCTGTCCTCACTGAGTCTTCTCAACACCCCAAATCCAGGCAGCTGTGGAACACCACCTGGAGCAGCGTCTGTATCAGCCGCAGAAGCTGCTGGAGGACCTGAGGGAAACAGATGCTCAGCAATTCTGCACCGCCATGAAATGCCTCTTAGAAGACAAGAAGGACCTCTTGGTGAGGCGTTCTTGGCACCCCGGGAGTAGGGGAAATCCAGAGCCAGATGGTATTTGTTGAGTTGAATCCAACTGAGCCTCACTCAGGCCTTCTTTACGTCTTCCTCCCACCTTCTCCCTTCACAATCCCCCCAGGAGCTTGCAGACCTTAGCTTTCTCACTTACTTTTTCCAAAGTTCAAATGAAGAGGCTTATAGTATATATTCTTATGGGAACTAAGAGATGAGGGGTACAGAGGAGCTTCTAATAGTTTGGCTCAATAAACATCCATGAATGATTACTATGCATCAGTGGACACTGGGTTCAAAGATGAAACTCTTGCCCTCAAGGAGTTTACAGTCTGGGGATAGAAAAAAAAACCAAACAGAAATAGACAGATTTCTACAAAATAAAGTTGGTGATCAAAGAGCATCACAGAGCAAGGTCTATGAGACCCAGAAAAATCCTTGGGACCCAGAAAGGTGAGGTTTAGAGTTTTCTTTATCAGAGACACTTTAATGTGGGAAACAGTGTTTCCTAGAAGGAGTTGAACCATGTAAACATTTTAATAGTCACAGACTTACTTTAATGTCTGTTATTAAAATAGAATGGGAACATCCAACCTGTGAGTTTGGTAGAGATGTAATGTTTCCTATTGAAATGAATTTAAGTTAAAAAAAAAAGTCGGTTTAAAAAAAAGTATGAGGTAAATAATAGTAAAGGCAGTGCAAAGATACAGCAAAAATGAGGATGCTGGTCTATGAAAATGATATTGATTAATTTTTATTGAGGGTTTACTATGTGTCAGGTGTTATTCTAAGGGAACATTCATCAAACCGTTTCTGTAAAGGACCCGATACTAAATATTTTAGGCTTTGCAGGCCATGTATTCTCTGTCACAACTGCTCAACTCTGCTGTTGTAGCAGGAAAGCAACCATAGGTGGCAGGTAAATGAATGAGCATGGATGTGTTCCAATAAAACTTTATTCACAAAAACAGGCAGTGGGCCAGATTTGGCCTGTGAATCATAATTTGCCAACACTGTTCTCAGGGTTTAACATGCATGGACCAATTGAATCCCTTCCAGGATGTTCTGAGATAAGGACAATAATAATCTTACCATTTCAATATTCAGATAAGGAAATGGGCTTGGAGAGGTTGAATGAATAACCTTGCATACACAGCTCGAAAGTGGGAGGTTTGAGGTTGGAACCTGGGCTCCTGACTCTAGCTGTGAGTCCTTCTGGCATCTCGTGAAGCCCATGGGCCCCTTCTCAGAATAACTTGTGAAAAATCTATAAAATAAAACACAAAGGATTATAAAGGAAGCCAATTCTATTGAAGGGCATTTATTAAAATATGTAAAACAAACATATTTGGAGTATAGTAACTGATGTGCTTAACACATCCAATGACAAGATTTAACTCTGAGTCAAATAGCTTCTGTAATTTTGAGGAGGTATTGATTATAAAGGAGATTTCAAGATATCTGTGACAACTGTAATGTGTTATGAAAGTTTCAGATTTCTACTGATGACAAATCCAAGGTCCTACTAGTGCTTTGGTGGCTTATTGTCTACATTCATTCCTGAAGGAAATGCTGGAAGTAAGTTCTGTGGCAGTAAAATGAAGGCGCAGTTTCTTCCAGTGTTCACATATGCCCTAAATTCTATCCACAGACCTCTGCTGCAGAACTCCTGAGCTGCATTCCTAACCACTACACTGTTTAGCCCCTGAGAGTAAATGACCGAAGTTAGGAAACACTCGGTCATGGTTAGAAATGTGGGCTTGGATGCAGATATACCTGTTTCAGATCCTAGCTCTGTGTAAGTTTGGGAAGGTTGCTTATTCTATCTTTTGTTTACATCACCTGTGATCTTGAGATAATAATAGCATATAACATTTGTTGAGTGTGTGGTCTTTGCTCAGTCAGTGATGGTTATTATGTTTGCAGGGTGTGCTGGGGGAAAGACGGGTGCCAATCAAATTGTGACTAAGCCCTGTCAGCATTCCTGGGTTCTGTGGTTCAAAAGAGTCATTCATTCATTCATTTGTTCATTCATTCATTCATTCATTCATCCTAACGGGCTTTCTCAATATTTTCTGGATACCAGGCATTCCTAGTGGAATGGGCGTCAAGGGCACATGGCTTGGGCGTCAAGGACTTTTCTCGCTCAACCCCTGCTGCACACCAAAGTCAGCTGCCTGGGCTCCACCAAAGAGCAGTTCAATCAGACTCTGTGGGGCAGTGCTGGAATCACCTCCCCAGTGGTTCTGATGTGCAGCCGGGGTTGAGAACCATTGGCATGGAGGAAAGATAGGTTCATAAGCATCTCTAATGCATCATGGAGTTTAGCTCAAGGTGCACTTGGGAGCACTTAGTGGAGGGAGATTTGATTTTGAGCAAAGTAGGAGGGCATTTGAGAAGACTTCACCAAGAAGGTGATGACACTTAAGCTTATCCATGAGGGATGAGCTGGATTTCGCTAGAGGAAGGAGGTGGGGAGGGAATTCCAGCTCAAGCATGCGCCTGAGGTGTGAGTCATGTGGTATACCTGGAGAGTGAGAAGTTGCCTAGTGTGGGAGAGGCAGGTGAAGGCCTCAACTTTGTTCTGTAATAGATGGAAAGTTCTAGAAGGTTTGACAGAGCAGTGATGTCAATCAGTGGTCCTGAATTTCCCCACTACTAAGTATGGTTCCTCCCAGGGCTTCCAAATCTAGAGGCCTCTCACGAGACAATTCTAGCTTCTTTATTTTAGGAGCTGGAAGACATTGTTATTGATTTGAGAGAGATCCGGAAACAAGCCTTCCAGAGCCCTGGTGTGAACCGCAGCCTGTTTCTCATCACACTGGAGAGGTGTTTCCAGTTGCTGAACTCGCTGGAGTGTGTGGAGATCCTGGGCAGGGTGCTGAGGGGCTCCTCAGGCAGCCTTCTGCAGCCGGACATTGCAGAGAAGCTCCCCCAGGACCTGTGTGAGGATGCCTTCAAGAACCTGTGAGTGTTTCCCCCAGCCCATGAACCCCACTCCTCATTCCTCAGAGGTAATATATGGCAGAGGGGAGAAAGCAAGGGAAGCAGGTTAACATGTGAGGCCTGGAGCAGAGCTTAACATCTGTGGAGTTTAGAAATGGTTTGATTAAAACAGTGCCTCCCAAATGTCGGTCATTCTGGTACCAACCTCACAATTTTTGCCCTATCTGTACACCACTGGTACTATTCTTTACTTGTTTTTTTTTTTTTTTCTTTATAGTGACTCATTATTTTTATTTTTATTTATTTATTTTTAAAAGATTTAATTGATTTGACAGAGAGAGAGAAAGCACAAGCACGGGGAGCAGGAGAGGGAGAAGCAGGCTCCCCACTGAGCAGGGAGCCTGATGCAGGGCTCAATCCCAGGACCCTGGGATCAGGACCCGAGCTGAAGGCAGACGCCCAACTGACTGAGCCACCCAGGAGCCCCATGACTCATTCTTTTTAATTAACATTTATTTAAAAAGTAACTTTGACATCATTACTGTAAGGTCAAGTCATATTGGGACTAAATGGGACTGCTGCATATGGCAACAAGGAGGTCGTTGGTGACTGGGACCATGAGGAGAGGTGTGGTGGGGAGGGGACCAGGCCGTAGTGGTTAAAGGTGGTCAAGACACTTCATACCCAGTGGGGTGTCTATAATCAAAATGTCAGATAAATATTTGCAAATGACATATCTGATAAAGGGTTAGTATCCAAAATATATAAAGAACTTTTAAAACTCAACACTAAAACTCAACTTTTAAAACTTTAACACTCAGTTAAAAATGGGCAGAAGATATGAATAGACATTTTTCCAAAGAAGACACACAGATAATAGACACATGAAAAGATGCTCAACATCACTCGGCATCAGGGAAATGCAAATCAAAACTACAATGAGATACCACCTCACACCTGTCAGAATGGCTAAAATCAACACAAGAAACAACAGGTGTGGGTGAGGATACAGAGAAAGGGGAACCTTTCACACTGTTGGTGGGAAGGCAAACTGATGTAGCCACTCTGGAAACAGTATGGCAGTTCCTCAAAAAGTTAAAAATAGAACTACCCTATGATCCGGCATTGCACTACTAGGTATTTACCCAAAGGATACAAAAATGCTAATTTGAAGAGATACATGCACCCCAGTGTTTATAGCAGCAGTATCTGCAATAGCCAAATTATGGAAGCCACCAAAGTGTCCATCGATTGATGAGTAGATAAAGAAGGTGTGATCATCATATATATATCATGGATATTACTCAGCCATAAAAAGAATGAAATCTTGCCATTTGCAATGACATGGATGGAACTAGAGCGTATTATGCTAAGTGAAATAAATCAGGCAGAGAAAGACAAATACCATATAAATTCACTCATATGTAGAATTTAAGAAACAAAACAAATGAGCAAAGGGGAAAAAGAGAGAGAGAGACAAACCAAGAAACAGACTCTTAACTGCAGAGAACAAACTGATGGTTATCAGAGGGGAGGTGGGTAGGGGATGGGTTAAATAGGTGATGGGGATTAATGTGTGCACTTGTGATGAGCACCGGGTGTTGTATGGAGGTGTTGAATCACTATATTGTACTCTTGAAGCTAATATTACATTAGCTAACTGGAATTTAAACAAAAACTTAAAAACAAACAAACAAACAAACCCAAAACCAGGATGTCAGATACTAACCAGTGTTGGTGAGGATATGGAGAAATCAGCACCCTCATATACTATGGAGAATGTGAAATCATGCAGCCTCTTTGGACAACAATCTGGCAGTTCCTCGAAAGGCCAAGGACAGAGTTGTCATCTAACCCAGCAATTCTGCTCTTGGGTATCTATCCAAGAGAAATGAAAATGTCTGTCCGCACAAAAACGGGCACATGAATGTTTACAGCAGCACTGTTCATAATAGACCAAAGGTGGAAACAACCCAGAGGTCCATCAGCTGGTTAATAGATAAACAAAATGTAGCAGGTACAGGCTGTGGATTAGTATTTGGCCCTGAAAAGGCCATGAATGAAGTGCTAATGCATTGTCCAACATGCATGAACGTTGGAAACATCATGCCAAGTGAAAGAAGCCAGTCACAAACATGACGTATCGCATGCTTCCATTTATCTGAAATGTCCGGAAGAGGCAAATCTATGGAGACAGAAAGTAAATTAGTAGTTTCTAGGGGTTGGGGTGACTTGTAGTTGGGGGGTGGTAGCTAAAAGGGTATGGTGTTTCTTTTTGAGACGTTAAAAAATTCTAAAATTGAATGCGGTGATGGTTGCACAACTCTGGGAACACCACTGCATTGTACATTTTCAGTGGGTGAATTGTATGATGTGGGAATTATATCTTCATAAAGCTGTTACAAAAAAAGAAGAGGGGTGCCTGGGTGGCTCAGTCGGTTAAGCGTCTGCCTTTGGCTCAGGTCATGATCCTAGGATCTTGGGAATGAACCCTGAGTCCGGCTCCCTGCTCAGCGGGGAGTCTGCTTCTCCCTCTCCCTCTGCCCCTCCCCTCACTTTGTGCACGCACACTCATTCTCTCTCAAATAAATAAAATCTTAAAAAATAAAAAAATAAAACAACAACAAGAAAAAAGAAGTGACTAAGAGGTGAGGAAATGGAGAGCACTCTTCAGAAGAAATTTAGATGTGAAGGACAAAGGAGAAATGGGCCAATAGCTACACATAGCAAGGGAGTGGGAAGGCTTTTTAACACAAGACAGCTTTGGGTCCATTGGCTGTTTTGACCCTGTCTCAAGTCCTCCACCTGTTTGTTCTGTAACTGACACCCGTGTTCGTCATTTAGATCTGCGGTGTTCAAAGATCTCTACGACCAAACCTCGGCTCATTCCCAGAGAGCTCTCTACTCCTGGATGACTGGGATTTTGCAGACGTCCTCCAAGGCTACTGGTGAGCCTGGGCTTTGGAGTGGGATCACTTTTCAGGGGGAGTCCATCCTTAAAAGTAGTGCTTCCTCTCTGAAGATAGGGATTTGATTTCATTGTCATTTCTGATTTTTACCCGTCCTTCCCACCTTCCGAAAAGGGTTTGATGTGGCTTATGGAATAAAACACATACCCCAGGGGCACCTGGGTGGCTCAGTTGGTTCATCGTCTGCCTTCGGCTCAGGTCATGATCCCAGGGTCCTGGGATCGAGTTCCGTATCAGGGTCCCTGCTCAGAGGGGAGTCTGCTTCTCCCTCTCCCTCTGCCCTGGCTCATGCTCTCTCTCACTCTAGCTCTCTCTTTCCCAAATAAATAAAATGTTTTTGTTTTTTTTAAGATTTTATTTATTTGAGAGAGAGAGAAAGACAGAGAGCATGAGGAGGGGTGTGTGGCAGAGGCCACAGAGGGAGAAGCAGGCTCCCCACTGAGCAGGGAGCCCGATGCGGGACTCGATCCCAGGACCCCGAGATCAAGACCTGAGCTGAAGGCGGACGCTTAACTGACTGAGCCACCCAGGTGCCCCAAATAAATAAAACTGAAAACAAAAACAAAAACAAACCCATACCCATTCCATCCATACACTTCCCACACGTTCCAGTCTCCAAAATAAGGATGCCTCTGCATCTTACAATCAATGGGCTATCCTAGTTTGTAAGTGGAATGTAAATAATGACAGCGTCTTGGATTCTAAGAGAACCTTTAGAGTAAGGTTTCAAGTTCAAGAATCTGTATCATAAATCTGGATTAGAGTGGGACGTGGTAAATTTTTAAAAGGAAATCTAGGCAATAAAGCACAGAAATTTAGCGCGAAGTTTCCTGGCAGCCAAGGCAGAAGTAGATCAAGACTCATTTATTTTACAGATGTGTATTAGAGGAGTCAAATTCATGGAGCCGGAAAGTAGTGGTGGTTGCCGGGGGCTGGGAGGAGGGGGAAGTGGGGAGTCGTTGTTTCTTGGGGACAGTTTTGGTTTTGCGAGACGAAAATGTGCTGGAGGTGGATGGTGTTGATGGTTGCACAGCGAAGTGAATGCACTTAATACCACGGAACCATCCACTTACAAATGGTTAAGTTAGTAAACTTTATGTTATGTTTACTACAACTGAAAAAAAGAGAAAAAAATGACTGTGTAGATGAGTAATGCAGACAGTGTCTCAGATGGCTTCAATTTGTTGAGTTTTTAATGTGAGTCGTGTAAACAGAAAAACTTTTTAAACACTTACCAGATCCTACTATGTGTCAGCAACTGGAGATACAGAGCAAAATAAGACAAAGTCTCTGCTCTCATAGAGCTCTTGTTTTATTGGGGGAGGGTAGGTGGAGAAAAGTTTTAAACCATCAAATTAAGAGAGAGAGAGAGAGAGAGGGCTCAGGCACCAGTAGGTGCTATGAAGAAAATAAAATAAAATGGATGAATGCTATGGAAAGGCTTAGTGCTTTCGACCAGAACAGGACTTGGCCATCGTTTTCCATAAAGGGTCAGAGTAAATATCTTAGGCTCTGTGGGCCTGTAGTCTGGCTCAATGAATCAACTCTGATGTTCTGGTGCTAAAGCAGATATTGATAACAGGTGAGCAGGCGGGGCTGGGTCCCAGCGGAGCCTTATTTATGGGCCTTGAAATTGGGATTTCACAATTGTCACATGCCACAAAATAGTCTTCTTTTGATGTTACTTCCAACTATTTAAAAGCGTAAAAACCAAGCTCGCAGCCTCCACAAAAGCAGGTGACGGGTTGGATTTGGCTGGTGGGCTATGTAGTTTGCCAGCCTCTGGACTGGAGAATCAGAGAGGACCTGACATTTGAATTGAGGCCATAATGAGAAATGGAACGGATCCTGTGAGGCTTTGGGGGAAGGGTGTTGAAGGCAGGGGAACAGCAAACACAGAGGCCCTGGGGTGGGAATGAGCTCAGTGTTTTGGGGAAACATAAAGGAAGCCTGTGGGACTGGAGTGTAGTGAGGGCCAATCAATCCTTTTCCTGGAATTAAGCTCTGAGATTTGTGTATAAGGAGTGTCCCACAATAGAATAATCGATGTCTTCAGTGCGTAGCAGAATTCCCTCTGCCTGATGCATATTTACAGCCTCTAGAAATTTGAATCTCACCATGTGTAACCCTGAGAGAGCCACTCAGCCTCTAGACTTCCCTAAGTCCTCATCGCCAGAATTTAATTAGAGACAAACGTTCCTTCTAAAATTCCTATATGCTATGTTTCATTATTATACTCAAGTGAATTAAAACGAATTTTACTTGTACTTTAAGCTTTTTATTTTTCATGGAGTTCCTTGAGGTAACTGGGAATGCTTTGGGTGTTAAAAATATCCCGATCTTCGGGATCCTTGGTCTGCAGAAATACAGTTTATACTTTATAGCTAATCTAAAATTAACAACTCAACTTGGTTCTTGATGAATTTAGTGGCTCCCTCCCCTACCCACACCCGCCCAGTTCTCTAGCCTTCTGGGACCAGCCCTTCTAATAACCAAGTCAAATGTCCAGAGTCTTCATCTCATCTAGGGGATCCTAGGGCGTTTATCTATGCTCATCCCAAGAGCTGAGTCCTGGGCTGACGAGGGATCCTGTTGTTCTTGTGACCCAGCCCATACCACAGCTGACTTCACCATCTTGTCTGGGCATGAGAGTCATTGCCCCTGGCTTTTTGCAACAGCTCTTGGTGATGGAGTCACTGTGCCCTGTAAACGCTCCCCTGCGTCTTCCATTTCCCCAAAATGCCACCAACACAATGTTGTTGTGTGTAAGAGTCTTTTACTGAAGGATTGGAGGCAATGAGGGCGATTCTAGCTTAGTGAAATGTGAAGTCCAAATGGAGCCTGGACATGATGGTTCTTGAAGTCCCACTGACATCCCGCTGACAAGCAATTTCAAATGCCTGAACAGAGCGACAGAATCTTCTGGGAATTCAGAGGAGGGAGAAATTACTGATGGCTGAGAAGACAAGACAAAGCTTTAGAGGGAAGAGGGAATGTTTGAACTCAATTCTGAAGATAGGATTTCGGAGCAGAAGAGTTAGGGGCAAAGGCATTCTAGCTGATGAAAAGGGCCCACATGAGAGAAGATTTGGAGAACATTTGGGGTGCATATGAGGAAGGATGAGTAGTTGTTTTGGCTCAAATACAGTAACCTGGTGCTAATCAATAAGGCTGATAATGATTGTTACTGGTAGTAATAAAAGAGAGTCATATATATTTCAAGTTGCCAGACTATTTAGTAACTAAGTGAGCTAAAAGTAAAACTATATTTTGTGATCTTAACTATTAAAAAATAGTCTGCATTTTTTAAAGGAATCTTTTTTTTTAAAGATTTTATTTATTTATTTATTTTAGAGAGAGAGAGAGAGAGCAAGTGTGAGGGGGGGCGGGGAGGAGCAGAGAAAGAGGGGAGAGGGAGACATAGCAGACCCCACTGAGTGCAGAGCTCAACGCAGGTTCGATCCCACGACCCCAAGATCATGACCTGAGCAGAAATCAAGAGTTGGCCGCTTAACTGACCGCACTACCCAGGTGCCCCCAAATAATCTGCATTTTTAATAAGTTCCCAGGTGGTCCTGGTGCTGCTAGTCCAGGGATCATGCTGCTGAGGAACAAAGCCTCAGTGGCTGGTATCTGTGATTGCCTATGTGTAGCGTAACGTCTCCTAGGTAGGAGGCTGTCCATGAATGGTTGTTGAACGAATGAATGAACATAGGAAGGAGGTCCTGATGTCAAAGATGGTTTTGATTATCGCATACCAGGCAGGGGCTTTTATTTAGTTATTTATTTACGTATTTCTCCATTTATTTATTTTTTGCAGACGACTCTGTTTCATGGGTCAGTGCAGAAAACTTATGGATTTTGGGAAGATACATGGTTCACCTATCATTTGAAGAAATTGTGAAAATTAGTCCTGTAGAAGTAAGTGGGAAACGCACATTTCCATGTCCCCATCACCAAGCCATCTGGGGAAAGGTGTATTCTAAACCCCTCATGTTCAGCCAGTCAAGGTGCCCTGGAAAATTGGATACCCACCTTGGCCAATATATCTTGAGTCTCTGAAGAAAACTCTTGGGATGAGGCCTCAAGTGGTTGGTCATCAGATTGCATTTAGTGTAGACGAACCAAGAAAAGAACAAGAATTGTAGACAACCAAGATAGCTCCAATGTGAACCAACATGATATAAAGAAAATGTTGGCTGTGAACCAAAAATCATTTTAGGGTATTTTTGCATTCAAGAAAGGCCAAGGACAATAGCTATAGAGTTTCTGGTCCTTGGAAGCATGAACCCAAATCAAACGAATCATGGATTACTAGCGACTTCTATTTATAGCTACTTCTATTGATAGCTATTTCAGTATGAGCAATGATTGGATTTTAACTGTAGAGTTTACAGTTGAGAAATGTACAAGTTCTAAGGTTACTTTCACTCACTGGCCAACCTGTCTCTGTCCTCCTGATGTTGACCCAGTCACACTAAAGTCCCTTGGGCATCATGATTCTGGAATGCAGTCTCCAAAGCATGCTGCCAACAGGGAGGCATTCATAAAGACTTTAGGGCTTGCCTCCAGTTTTTATCATGTGTGTCTTGACTTTCTCCTAGTCAGTGAGAGAAGTGTTTGTATCACATGACTGGCTCTCTCAAGGGCCAATTGATCCAACAATGTCGGCTTATTACGAAACCAGAGGCAGAAACAGGTTGTTCTTTTTCTTTATCTTTTTTAAAGATTTTATTTATTTATTTCAGACACAGAGACAGAGCACAAGCGGGGGGTGGGGGGGCGGCACGAAGGGGCAGAGAGAGAAGCAGGCTCCCAGCTGAGCAGGGAGCCCGATGTGGGACTTGATCCTAGGACTCTGGGATCATGACCTGAGCCAAAGACAGATGCTTAACCGACTGAGCCACCCAGGCGCCCCCAGGTTCTTCTTTTTAAGAAAAAATTTAAAAATTTTTAATTGAAGTATAGTTGACATATCTAGGTTCCTCTTTTGACCTAGGGGGCTGAGACTATTTCAAACGTCTTTCAATTTTATAATCTTCAGTTATAAAATGGATTAAACCTCAATTTTACTCTCCCAATATTGAGCAAACTTCTGCAAGTTAGGTGGAGATTAAATTGTTAGGAAGCTGGACCCCTGGGGAGGAATTTCTAAGATCAAGAGGTCATTTGCAAATTTTCTTCATCTTCTAAAAGTGTAGCGGAGGGAGGCGAAGCCCCACAGGGTACCAGCACTAAGGGGGAATTTTATATGGACAAAGAATAGAATCCACAAGGGAGAGACGACTTCATGAGCACAGAATAACAGTGCATAGAAAGATGGGAAACTTCGGCTTGACACCCTTGGACACCCAGGCAGAAAATGAATAAGAACAGAAAGAATCTGAATGGTGTATTTAATAAAGTTGAACCTATATATCTCTATCTTTCTCTATATTGTATCTTACCAAGGGAGCACACACTGGTTTTCATTACCCGAGGCCCATTTGTAAACTTATTCATCTAAAAAAAACACCCTGATGCTCCAAAGTGCAACATTTGTGGACCATATTCTCTGACCTCCCCATAACAAATCTACAAAGAAATGTGCAAACATTAGCTTTCAAAGAGTTCAATGGCTCAGATACTGAAATATAACACTTTCCTACTAAGTGTTGGGTTGAAGAGGAAGCCAAAACAGTTGTGACAGACCATTGAGAAATCAGTGACAATGGGAACTGTGCATCTCTGAGTCTCTGAGGTGGGGCACAGCATGGACCACCAGGGTGGGGCTGCTTGGGGCCACGTCAGTCTTCCTCACTGGTCTTCCTGCCCTTTTTCACCAGATTAGGCTGTTTATCAGCTATGACAATACCACCAAGCTGCTGGACACGGTTTACGACATCACACCCGAACTGGCCCGGGCATTCCTGGAGAGGATCAGCTCCTCCAGCTTTGACATGAGGAATACCTCCACCATCCACAGGCAAGGGGCAGGGGTTCTCTGAGTTGTTTCTCAAAATGTGAGCGAAGCACCAGTTTCCTCTGAGCAGCAGAGGACCCTGGGAGGGAAGGGAGGTGGCTGGTCCATCTCTTTAAATAGCCCCATGTCTCTGTGCACATGAGGGGAGGCATTTCCCCAAAGAAACACCCTTTGAAGGGGTTATAAAGTGGGGTGAGGTGGGAATAAATTCTTTCTGAGCCTCTCCTGTGCCAGGCATTTTAGGCAACCTTATCCAGTGCCAAGATTCCAGCTCTGAGCATGGAAATAGAATATCTTAAATACTCAGTTCTCTGTCCAAGGTCAATGTGTAATTTCCATTAGGGTGGGTCGAGGATTGGAAAGAGCTTTTGGGTCCCCATATTTGTGAACCTCTTGTTATCCAGATTCTCAGGTGGGGGATCCACAGATGACGTCAGCTCTCTAATTTAGAGATTGTAACGTGATCCTCCAGGGGGATGGGCCAGCAGCTGTGTACTTGGTGACCCCAGAAAGGGCTGGGCTGTTAGTGGGAGGGAGTGTGCGGTGGGGAGGGGTTGTGAGCACTGTCTCACCATCTCTCTCTCAGGGGCAAATGTCACTGTATTAAATTTTGTCAAAGAGTCACTTGTAGAGAATGTTCTTATATGAAACTATTACACCTTCTTCCCCCATCCCTAGTAATATTTACCCATAGCATGGGCCCCTTTTTCTATGGTTATACAAAAATAACTTATTGGTTAAGGACACGGGACCTGGAGCCAGACTTCCCGGGTATAATCCCGGCTCTGCCAGCTATAAATTGCGTGATTTTGGTTGCATCAGTTCACCTCTCTGTGCCTCTATTTTCCCTATCTGTAAAATGGGAGATAATAATCTGCCTACCTCGTTCAGGTCCTTGTAAGGATTACGCACACCTGCCACAAAGTAACTGTTCAAGAAATATTAGTTATTCTTAACGTGGTTATTAATATTCAGTCTTTACATCTCCTGAGTCTTTTCTCATCCGACACATTTTCACATCCTTCTGCTGGCCTGATTGCTCTCCTGTGGACATGTCTGAGCATGTCAGTGTCTTTTTTTTTTTTTTTTTAAGATTTTATTTATTTGACAGAGAGAGACACAGCGAGAGAGGGAACACAAGCAGGGGGAGTGGGAGAGGGAGAAGCAGGCTCTCGGCCAAGCATGGAGCCCAATGCGGGGCTCGATCCCAGGACCCTGGGATCACGACCCCAGCCACAGGTAGACGCTTAATGCCTGAGCCACCCAGGCACCCCATGTCAGTGTCTTTCTGAGAGGGTCAACCCAGGTGGAGCCTGGTCAACCAGGTGGTCCAGCCATGCTGAATTGAATAGATTTCATACTAACTCTAAGAGCATCCATTAATGAAGGAGTGCCTGGTGTCCACCAGGAAGTGTGCTCATCTTCCCATTGAACTCTCACAGTACTCCTGATTCCTCTGTTCATCATATTTATTGTGATGTGCTATGGTGAACAAAGCCAACCTCTCTTTTATTAAAGGCTCAGAGAGACAGGGTCACCCTGTACAGTAGTACACAGTGTGGACTGCTCAACTGTGCATGCAGCAGCTTGGCAGAGAAGTTAAGTAACTTGTTGGATCAAATATCCCATACAGCTGGGCTTCAAACTCTTGTTGGCCTGAATCTATGCTTTTAACCACTAAGTGCAGTGCTCCCAGCTAGACCAGGGTTCACATCCCACCTCTGCCCTTACACTGTCCTACTTCCTGTCTTTTTCTTTCCTTTTGAGGTCATTATCATCTGAGGTGAGCAAACCCTATATCTCCATGTGGAAAATGGGGAGTTTTTTTTTTTTTTTAAAGATTTTATTTATTTATTTGAGAGAGAGAGAATGAGAGAGAGCACATGAGAGGGGGGAGGGTCAGAGGGAGAAGCAGACTCCC